CGAAAAAAAAAAAGAAAATACCAATTTTTTTTAAAATTTCCAACTCTTTTTTTTTTTTTTTTTTTTTTTTTTTTTTTTAGTCTTTTTGAGACAGGGTCTCCCCATAGCCCCAGCTGGCCCAGCACTTGCTATGTAGACCAGGCTGGCATAGATCATACAGGGATCTGCCTGCTTCTGCCTCTAGAGTGCGAGGTATAAGAAAATTTGCAACTTTTTATTATCAAAGTTCTCTTTTCACAATTATCAAATTAACTGTGATAAATGAATATAACTAGGTGAGATTTTACTGATGGAAAGGGATAATATCTCACTCTAACACATAGACACAGAAAATATAATAAGGCAAGATAAAATTCATTTATTGAGAAGAAACTGAGCATCCTACACGGAGGTTATGATTATGCCTAAATGTTCTGCATTAGGAAACTCTCAAATGATACCAGATCCTGTATATTATTCTAGTATGCCAATTTTACTTGAACATAGGGGGCAAAAGTATTAAAACAAAAGCTGATCAGTGGCGGCATATGCATACAATGGAAATATACCTCTATATGTTTCATAAACATACTTTCAATGGCAAAGAATTGCTAATATTGGGACTGGAGAGACGACTCAGTGGTTAAGAGCACAGGCTGCACTTGCAGTTGACCTGGGTTCAGTTCCCAGCATTCAAATGGTGGTTCACAACCATATGTAACTTCAGTTCCAGGGGATCCAACATCCTCTTGTGGCCTCCACAGGCACCAGGCATGTACATGGTACACATACACACATGCAGGTAAAACACTCGTAAAATAAAAATAAATCTTAAAGAAAAAGAATTACTAGTATTCTTCAAAATACAGACACACAGACACACAAAGCTGGACATAATGACAAACACCTGTAATCACAGCACTGGGGAGACTGAGGGAGGAGGATGATGAGCTCCAGACCAACCTGGGCTGCACAGTACAACGCCCCGCCAAAAAAAAATAGACAAAAATAGTAACACTGATTACATATGAAGAGATCTCAGAGTATAGGGGGTGATGGCCCATGTCTTTAATCCCAGTACTCTGGAGGCAGAAGTACACAATCTCTGTAAGATCTAGGCCACCCTGGTCTACGTAGCGAGTTCCAGGCTAGCTGGGCCTACAGGGAGACCCTGTTACAAAGAGAGAGAGGATCTAAGATGGCGACTGTGGAATCAGAAACCACTCCTACTACTAATCCCCCACCTACAGAAGAGGAGAAAACAATCTAATCAGAAGGTTGCTAACCCAGAGCAACCTTAATGTTAATAAATATTAAACATCCTCCACAGAACAGGTGGGCACTGTGTTTTTTTAAAAAGTGATAAAAGCAAAACTTGGCAAGCAAGCCTTCGATTGATGTCTAAGTTCTATACTGTTGAAGACTTTTGGGCTCTATACAACCATATCCAGTTGTCTAGTAATTTAATGCCTGGTTGTGACCACTCACTTTTTAAGGTTGGTATTGAGCCTATGTGGGAAGATGAGAAAAACAAACCAGGAGGACCATGGCTAATTACATTGAATAAACAGCAGAGACAGTGACCTGGATTGCCTTTGGCTAGAGACACTGCTGTGCCTTATTGGAGAATCTTTTGATGATTACAGTGATGATGTATGTGGAGCTGTTGTTAATGTTAGAGCTAAAGATAATAAGATAGCAATATGGACTACTGAATGTGAAAACAGAGAAGCTGTTACACACATAGGGAGGGTATACAAGGAGAGGTTAGGACTTCCTCCAAAGCTAGTGATTGGTTACCAGTCCCATGCAGACACAGGGACTAAGAGTGGCTCCACCACTAAAAATAGGTTTGTCAAGAAGACACCTTCTAGGTATTCTCATAGGAGACCATGTCAAGCAATGGAGATTTGGGAGCTGAACCAAAGCCTCATCAAAGCAGAGTGGATTGCATTGAAATTAGATCCATCTAAATGTTGCTAAGATGTAAGAGAAGTCTCTTTTGCCTTTGTCTTGTACTTCTGTGTTCTTTTTTTAATTTAATTTTTGCTAGAGTGTCCACTACACCAATCAAAGAATTACAGTGTACATCATCCCCAGAACCCACAAATGTGTTCCTGGCCCACTCTGTAATAGCTTAGAATTGTCATTATAAACATTTACCTTTCCACAATGTTCAAAAGAGAATTTGCATTTCTATACTTTAGCAGGAAAAATATTGCTTCTGTTCTACTTTATGCAGGAGCATATTTTTGCTGGTTTGAGAGTATGATGAGGAACCAGTTTTCCAGCAATTTTCTGTTTCTTTTTACAGCATTGTCTGTGCTGTACTCTTGCTGATGGCTGCTAGATTTTATTTGCTTCCCTACTTGATAACATTAGTGATTCTGATTTCAGTTTTTGTTTTGCTTTTGTTTTTTCCTCATGTAACATTGGTGAAGGATCCAGGAATATGATAGAAAGGTAGAATAAACATTAATTTTGTACAAAATAAATAAATAAAAAATGAGAGAGAATTTCAACTGCTTCAAGCAAAGTCCACAGAGAAATTACTGTGCTCACCTCTCTCTTTCTAGTTAAGAGCAATAAAAGTATTAGCTGCATTGCCACAGGACAGTTCCTAGATTTGGAACAGTATTTCTACAAAACTAAACAGTACTCTTCTTTAAAGTAGTGATGGGCTGACCAGCCTTCCAGTGGATGACCACACACACCAAGGGACATCTCAATGACACAAACTTGATTCAACAAGCCTTACTATATATGAAAGAATGTATGAAACCTGGTAGGGGGTAGGAGGGATACAGATAGGGAAGGGGGATGAAAATATAATTAAGATGTAGGAAATGCACAAAAGTTCAATTTTTTTTTAAACGGAATTTTAAATGGTGAAGGCTGGCCACTAATCCCAGCATTCACTACAGGCGGGTAAGCAGAACTGTAAATTTGAAGCCAGCCTGGGATACACAGTGAGACTGTCTCATCAAGAAAACAAAACTTAATCCATCCGGGATACTTCACGTACTAGACTGTGCACTTCTAAATCCACAAGCCCGAACACAAGGACTTGAGGATGGCACGGTTGAAAGCTTGTTGACTGGGAGGCGCTCTATCTCACATTTTATACAAAACTCAAGAGAATCACTTAAGCCTTCAAACAATTACCAAAAAAAAAAAAAAGAAGAAGAAGAAGAAGAAGAAGAAGTAGTAGTACTGGGAATAAAAAACACAACAAAAGCCCGGCTTCAAATCCTTTGACTTTCGAATCACTTTTGGAAGATGCTGGAGGCTGGAAAAGAAAAACGCTATTAAACAAGCCTGTTGGAGAAGAGACAGAAGGCGTATTCCCTAGGGACCAGCGGGGCTCGCAGGAAGCCCCGCCTCTCCCTTAGTGCAGCCTCCCCCACCCGCAGAGGGCCAAGGCAGCCCGGGCTAGACCTTGAAGCTGGGGGAGAAGTAGGCTCCGAGCTGAGGGGAGCAGAACCACACCGGAGGGCTGTTAGGAAGGCGTGGCAGATCAGCCGCCAGCCCACGGCCAAGATCCCGGGACCGGGGACGGCAGGGGATGGGACTGCGGGAGGAAGGAGCCAGCCCAGTGTGTTGGGGCCGCGGTCGCCTCTCAGTTGACAGCCCCAGCCAACCGCGGCCCGCGCGCTCCCGGGGCCCTCCATTGTGCGCGCCCCCGCCGCTCCGTCCCAGCCCTCCCACCGAGCAGGTAGCTCGGTGCGATCGGGCTCGCGGAGGCCTCCTCACCCGCCGAAGACCGCCGTCGCCCTGGCCTCCCCTTGTCCATCTTCTCCGCACGGGCTCCTCCAGTCGCACTTTAAGGCGCTGTCACCTCAGGACCCCTCGGGCTGGGGAAGGGAGGGGGAGGGGGGAGAAGGCAAGCCCGAAGTGCGAGTCGCGCTTGCGCAACTGCTGTCGCCTTCCTCCGACCGGAAGTTCTCCGCCCCTCCCGTCCGTCCGGATACTACTTCCTGGGACTTGCTTTCTTCCATGGCTGTAACCTCGAGCGTCTCTGTAGTGACGCTTTTTTACGACGTGCCAAGGGAAAGTCACGCTCAGTGTGAGATTGTACTCCTTGACTTTAAAGCTCAATTTGACAAAAATTTAAAATACTGGGTTCCTTCAGTGTATCAGTATCATAGAGTGGCCCCTTAGATTAAAACATGACTGCTTTTTCTTTCCAGCTTTTCGTCCTCAAGTTTTCTCCAATTTGGAAGCAAAAGATTTCAAACCGGTAAACTCACCTAACAGCAACACAGTTTTTGTTATATGGGGAGTTTTCTTTTTTTACTTTTTTGTTTGTTTAGATATATGCTCACTCTGAAGTCTAGGTAAAACTAGACCTCAAAATGAAGCCCAGACTAGACCTCAAACTCCCTTCAGTCCACCACCAGACTAGGATTACAGATGTGTGCCACCGTGTCTGGTTGCATAGTTAGTAATTTAGTGTTTAGAGGGGAAATAAACAGATGAGCAAATGTGTAGTTTACAAAGGAGATCTGTTTCAAATTGAAATTATTATTAAGGTTCCCCCAAGAAATAAATGAAAGGCCAGGCATGGTGGCTCACATCTATAATCCCAACACTGAGCAGACAGAAGCAGGAGGATTATTATTGATAAAGTAGCCCGTGGATGAATCCAGTTGATCAGGAGAAAGCACCAGGACATGGATAAAACAACATTGGAATAGAGTTTATTAGCAAAGGAACGCTTGGGACAGAGATGCCCTTTCCAGCAAGGAAAATGTCAGGATCATGAACTGCAAGGAAGGGGGAGGGAGGTAGCAGGAGAGCCAGATTGTTAAAACCTGCCCTCTTTAGAGATCAAAGGGGAAGCCTGCTGTGTTGGCCAAACAGTGGAGGAAATTCTGATTCTCTTGACTTCAAAGACCAGGATGCTTATCAGCTCTGTTCCCTTTTCTCAGGGGCTTGTGAAGTCCATGAAGCCCTGATGGGGACTGGTAGGGCTGCTGTGGTTTGAAACCCTAATATTCCAGCCTTTTGGGTTATAGGTTGGGGGGAGGAGGCTGTTGTCATCTTGCTACTTCCTACTGGACAAGGTCGACATGGGGGGAGGCTGGATTAGGGGCCCACTAGACAGCAGGGTTTCTCTCTCTGTGCATCTGAACAGGATCCTCGATGGTTGACAGGTGTTTGTATACATGTGAAGGGAAGGAAAGTAACAACTGATTAAAATTAGTATGTGTTAGTTTTCGGATTTGGTCCTGAAAATATCTGAAGAGGCAAGGAACAATGGTTAGCACCAAGGTACTAGTTAATTTTTCATTTTTTTTCCTTCTGCCAGGGCTGAACTCAAGAGTGATGGACTCAGGATTTGTGTTCAGGCATTTTGATAGCTGTTGGAGTGGCTAGAATGAGTGTCAGTTACCTCTCAAAGGCATCTAGATAGGGAGAGAAAACAAATTTAGCTATCATTTAATTTTTTAGGCTAGGACAATAGTGGGTTGCCTCCCTTAGCTGTAGATGAGCACTACATTATTGTAGACCAAGATTTGAAGTCTTACATCTGAGTATCATTGTCTTATTAGGAACCAAATCATCAATGAGAGATAATTCTCTAAATAACATGTCAATGTCTGGGTTGTGTAATCCCTTGAACCCTTAAAATATACTGATGACTTTAATTTTTGGTTATACTTTCCTTTTGGGTGTTTAAGACCATACTGTTGGCCCAAATAAACCAATTTATTTTTACCCTTAAGGTCGTTTGAGGATCTGTTCCTCAGGGATCACATGGTCTTGGGAGAAGCCCCTGGCTCCTTTCTTTTACCAGTTCCACCTATGTGAAGATAAGTCAAAGGTCCTGCTCGACCATGGTTGGCTTCACTTGACTGGACACTGGTTGGAGTCCATCTTCTGGGGTCTCCATGGCCTCCCTGAACAAGAGGACAGGTGACTCACCAAAGTTACAGGACATTTCAAGAGATGCTCCATAGCCCTTGGGACTTGTTTGAACTTGGAGGGCAAGGAATAAAAATTTGTCCCTTTAAGTCCCTCCAACCAGATTAATATAGGCCTTAAAGTTTGGCTACTAAACATCCAACAAGTTACACCAGTTACACCAGTCTGGTACTTTTAATTAGCATGTGCTATGTAGATAGAGCTTGGACAATATCCTTAAATAAACCTTGACTAGACATCCTTAGACTACTTGACTAAGCTACAACTTAGAAAATTTAAGATTATATGTATATATATATATATGTGTGTGTGTTACATAACAAACCTAAACAAGCCTTCATCACTTGCTTAGGCTTTCTCATTTTTTTCTATTTTGGAAAATATCAGGCTGGTGTGGAGAATGGCTGAGGTGGGGTTCAAGATTTTTAATTTAAGAGACCCAATACTGGTGGCCTGGTACTTGATGTGTTCCTTGGTCAGTTTTAATTTGGAGAGGTGATCCAACCAGGTTGTCCCGAGAGCTTGGCTGCAGTCAGGGTAGACAGGATCACCAGGTGAGGACCAACACAGCTAGAGGGTTTCCTTCACTCCTTTCTGTTGGGTGTGAACCTGCAGGTCGGTATGATCTCCAGGTTGAAGTGGGTGGTCAGTTTGGCCTTTAGAAGCCTGGGGAATAATCCAGTCAGCATGTTCCCCGAGTAGTTTCCTTAGAAAGATGAAGGCAGGTAAATAGTTGTGTAGAGGGGAGGGATGCTGGCTAAAATTAGGGCCCTGGTGAGTGTCACAAGTTTGGCTTTTTGTGACGTGGTTCCAAGTGGTAGGGGTCCTGACTCAATGACATCTGAAAGAGATACTATGGCCTGTGGGACCCCGTTGGGGTGAGAGTTAAACTTCTATCCATAAACCAAGTCAGGGTTGGGTTTGGTAGGGCATCTGGGAAATTAGGGGACCCTGGTAGGAGAGTCCCTTAAGAGTTTCCAAGCATGAGTGAGTGAGTGGTTTACTGGAAAGGAGGTAGGAAGCTGGATTGAGAGGAGGGCAGGAATCAAGGGTGGGTGAGGGGTTTTCAAGTTTTAAGAAACATGACATGGAAGAGTTGTAATTTAGAGGGAGCTAGATTGGCAAGAGACATGTGGGTTAGTTAAATCCTTAAGCTGGTGGGGGGAAAGGACAGAGATGAGCTGACCCAAAGTGAGCTTAAGTCCCTCTTGAGCCAGGAGAGCAGTAGTGGCCAGAGCATGGGAGCAAGGTTGCCAGTCCTGGATAGTGGTATTAAGCTGTTTAGAGGTAACCTACTGGGACAAAATTGGGACCACTCATCTGTCCCAAAACCCCTAATGCTTGGTCCTTATTTTCATTTGTGTAGAGAAGAAATGGACATTCCAGGTTGGGGAGAGCCAGAGCCAGTGCCTTTAAGAGTGCTTCCTGGATAGTGTGGAATGCTGTTGTAACAGGCCTTAAGGGGTCAACAGTCTCAGGGGAGTTTCCTTTGGAAGCTTTGTACAGCAGCTTTGTAGAGAGAGCGAAGTTAGGAACCCAGATGCTCAGGTACCCTACAATGTCTAGGAAAGATAGAATTTTCTCCTTGTTTGTGGGGGGGCTTTAAAGACCTTAGGTAATTTGTCCTATCTATAGTTAAACAGTGGGATGTAGGTGTGAGAAGGAACCCCAAGTACTTGATTTGAGAGAGAGAAAGGTGAGTCTTAGCTGAAGATATCCTATGTCCCTTGTACCCCAGAAAATTAAGGAGTTTGATTGTGTGGGCCTTGGAGACAGAGAGATGGAGAGCAAAGAAGTAGGTTATCTATGTATTGTAAGATGGTGGAGGGATTAAGGTCTAGGGAAGTTAAATCCCAGGCTGGGCTTGTCCAAAGTGGTGAGGGCTATCTCGAAACACATGGGGCAGGACAGTGCAGGTTAGATCATAGGTGCAAGTGATGTATTTAAAATCTTGTATGAAGTGTGTAGGATTGTTGGGGACCCTTCTTGTGTAAAGTAGCAGTCTCTTCATGTCCGGATAGCCCATGGGCTCGGCTTCATTGCAGAGATTCCTTTTATCAGCAGGGTGCCTTCCCGGCATCTTCCTGACTCATCTTTTGAAGCAGCCATCACAGAAACATGGCCTCCAGCTCAAGAACTGCCAGCCTTTCCTGTATGATTTTCAGACAGTCTGGCAGCCTGGCAGGAGCCCACCTCTACATGTAAATAGGGTATCCCACAAAGTACCTATAAGCTAAGTTTTTTACTACCACCCCTATAGGATAAAGTATCCTGGTTTTTCCTCAATAATCGGAGCTGGATCACCGAGACTTGGAGCCGAGCTAAGTCACTGAATAAAGGGGCTGTACCACTGACTGAGCTGAGTTCTGTCTTACTGCCTATGATCCAGCCTCCCCGGGGGGTGCTATCCTTCCATCATCGACTCACGGAAATCCAGCTTCAGCCCTCCCGCACCTCTCCTCGTGACCCAGCAGCTGATGGGTCCCGAACTTAGAGAGAGAGAGTGCACGGGTGAAATTGGGGTGGAACTCGACCGGGCCAGCCCCGGTAGCAGAGACCCACAGAGACACGGAGAAGCAGGGACCCGCCAGCAATGCAGAGCAGACGCACCGCAGGACCCGCTGCTTCCCAGGTGCGCGCAGGAGACCGGCGCCACGCTAGCAGCTGGTCCCCTGAGATCCCTGCGCCCCCATATAGGATTAGTAGAAAAAGAGCCTATTTTGCTTTTGAGGTGAGATAGATCTCCAAGAGAGAAAGGGACATGGACCTTGACCATCCCATCCATGTGTGCCAACTCTAGGAGGGGAAAAATACCATGGGCCGGGGGTCGAGACTCAGTGTGGGAGTGAGTATGGCTTGATATAGGAGAGGGGTTGGGAGAAGGGGAGTCCCAGGAAGAGGCCAGAGTGGGGGAGATGGGAGGGGTGTCCTGTCCATGAGGGGACGCAGGGGCAGGGGTATCAGAGGCAGGGTCTGGAATCAAAGTAGAAGTAGATAC